TTATGCGAGCGCCCCTGGTGGCCACTTGTCCTTACATTTATGTGCAATACTTGATAGAAGCAATACAAGCAGCAAGAGAGTACTGCGTGTGTACCCTTGCTGCATTCGAGACTAGAAATTGCCATGCTGCAGGTGGAACGAAAGAACCTGTCCGAAAGAGGACATACGCCCAGGAACACGCCTGTGGGAGGCGCGTGCTGAGTTGGCAAAAAGGTAGCGCGACAATCATGCTGACATCGCTATACTCTTAAAATGTTGACTGAGGGGCGGCACTCACGTGTTCGCACGCGGTGTTTCTTTGATAACCACTGCAAATGACCCACATGTGTTTCCAACGCCAGCGCGTTCCTGTAGCCATTTTTATCAAGGCTGCTATCACGCCCTCCGCGCTGTCTTCATGCCATGGCCGCTGCAGAGCGAGCTTGAAGCAAACTCGTCTGCCCGAGAAGCTTAGACTATCCTGCATAGCACCCCTGCTCGTGAGATGAACGTCAGGCCGTGCATACAGCATTTGCCACTTTCCTGTGAGGGTATCAATGGGTGCCACAGAGCATTATAATTGTTTCTCCCTTTAGTATCTGCTGGGATACTGAATTTGCTTGTACACTAACTTATGTCTCTGTTTCTCATTCACAAATTGGCAGATCGTTCACACATTTACACCACGCCTACCCTTGGCTCTGGCTAACTAGAGGTGGACTTAGAGAACATGCTGCGGCTTGCGAATTCGAAAGAGCATGTACTCAGGCCCAGACTGATTTGAGCGCAATATTACAGTGGTAGCCATTAAGAGTGTGGCAAATTAAGTTCCTCCCCAATGCCCTCTTTGCTTGGCGAAGCGAACCCGTGTAGGTAACGAGTTGTAGCAACCAAACGAAGAACTGTGCAGCGCTGATCTGCAGACCATCGCCAACAGAATTTAGGGCAAAGGCGCCCATAAGGATAGACAAAGAGGAAAGTATTGCGAAAGAAGGTGGGGGCTATGAGGTGAGACGGTGCGCAAGCTGCTTTAAGAAAGCTTGCAGTGAACACAAGCATCACGCCATCGTCAACACACATCACAACTTAAAAGAGCACTTATACAAACATGTGTCCGAGTCACAGATGACAACAGAAGCAAGAAAAAAGAAGCGAAGGGTGAATGGGGAGAGATTGGGGCGCCACCAAAAGGAAAAAAAAAAGGGGGGGGGGTTCCACCGCACGACGGATACCAGAGGCATAGAAACACGGTGACGCGATCAATAGCGACGAAATTTGGAGCAACACAGCCTATAAAAGGAAAGCATTGTGGTAGGCCCATTGCTCATTATTGTAGTGTGCTTATAATCAGCCAAGCCATTTTAAAAACTCTGCTTCATTGTTAAATTCAAGGCTCCGGCTTTTTAATGTTTGAATTTCGAAAAACAGTGCGTTAACGAAAGCGTGCCCTATTTTCGGGGAGAAAAAAAAAGATTCCATTCCATTCCCATTCCACTCCATGCAAAAGGCACCTAATTTCATTCTAATTCAATTGCTCCAAAGTGTTTTCCCCTTTCCATTCCCATTCCATTCCGGGGTCACGAAATTGTGGAATGATTCCGGAGTCATTCGAATTCTGGAGAGGGAAATCCGCAACACCGAAAGGAGTACACCAGCGACGTATAACCCTAAGTTATTGCGAGCACCACCACCTCTTCAAGCATGTATCCCTCGAAAAGGAGGGGACATGGCTTCCTATTTATAATTTCGACGATTATCACGCCACGAAAGCGTATCATACTTTGCATACGCGATCACCGTCGACCGATGTATACATGCCAATCTTGTTAATTTCGAATGCCCTGCCAGGGTGAAGGGCCCCTCGACTACCGTCGCAGTAAAAAACAAAAAGTAAACAAACATATCAAATCAGTACGATGATGATGGAGTCCTAAACAAGTATTTTTCTCCCATATATCTGGCACAGCATGAACTTTTTCCATTCTAGTTTTATTTTTAAGGATAATTAAGCCAGCCGAGTGAAGCTAAGGCAAAAGCATCGCATCCCCATGCCGTCTACGACAATAAGCACCTTCAACGCGTGTTTAAGTATCTAAATTATTGTGCCAACAATGCCTGTTATCACATATGCGCTTTTCAAAAACAGGAACAACAAGAATTATTGAAAATTGGCGCCGCTACTTGCGTAATGGCCGCAGAACGCGGCGTAAGTTGTTTTGAATTGAATTTTTTTTAAATAAGTAAGCCAACTATATAAGTGTCACGTGAGCTCGCCCCTCACCGTTTGCCGCGAATCGGCGTTGGTAGTTTTGCCTCATGGCACGTTGCGTGAAATTAGATTTTCTCACGACGCTGCAGCAATGCCCGCAATGGCGATTTGCTGCAAATAGAGGGGCGGCTGTGTATACGGAGGAGCCAAAAGCTTTTGCAGGCTATAAATAGGTTTTTCTCAAATTTCGTTCTGCGCAGTTTATTCATGTATGCTCTAAGATTTTCCGCCTTCTTCCCATTCTACGCACATACACACCGGCCCTTCTTCATGAAGCGCAAAAGCAAGTGCAGAGATGTGAGTCGGCCGTATTGACATAAGATGGCCGAAAAATCTTGAAGCATGACAGCTCAGAATGTACAGCCATGACCACACCCATGAAGGTTCTCTTAAAGCTGGAAGAATTCAAGTGTGGAAGCTGAGTATTATGTATACTTGTTTCGAAACCCAATACCAGAAATATGTCACCGCGTACAGGTGCTTGCGTTCTGCTTAAAAATTACTCGACGTGTTACATTTTTTGCAGGTTATATCGAGAGTGCTATAAGCAGAATTGCAGGTATGTGGAAAGGACTTGAAGAATTTGTATGCGTAGCGCTAAGGAAGCAAAATTTTTTTCGCGCCTATGGGCGTGTGTGAAAGTGACCGCCTGCAGAACGCTCAGAATGCGGAATAGCGGGATTCCGATGCGGAACGCTGATACTTTCGCGTTTTAGCTGTATTCCTGCGTGCAAAGTTCACGATGAAGGCCCGCGTTTTCATGCTGCTACCTTGTACATTGGTGGCCTAAGTTGCTGCAACGGCATGGTTGCGCTAAATCTTTTGCCGGCGCACACTTGAAATTGTGTGTATGTGCAATTCACTGTATTCACAATGCAATTCTTCAATGGTAATACTTCGTATGTCAATAAATAAATAGAGAAAAAAAAGACCTGATGTTTGACAACAAGCCTGCTCGTTGTCGCTCCGGAAGCTATATCGCGCAAACTCGTGGTCTTCAAGCTGTATACGAACATAAGCGCGGCGACCTCCAAATTTCTATTTCTTTCTGCTGATGTCCCATGTAATGTACCAAATAAACAGTTTTATAGTATCGTTTTCCTCGTCTCACTTCGCGTGCCACAGCAAAAATACTGGCGAATCGATTTCCCTCATTTCGACGCGAGCGAAAATGCTTGAGACGCATGTACTTGGAAAATTTTGGAGCCGTGTACATTGGCGTCCATCATAATCATATTTTATTTTTGGAAAGTTAAAAACCCATCGATTATTATGGTATATTAAGAGATTAGGCCTATACAAGGCTTGGAGAAATGCTGATAGAAGAGTAGGTAGGACCATACCTCGGCAATAAACGTCGCAGTTCAGTCAGACTCACTCAAGAAATATATTTTGCACTTAGAGTTCATTCACACTCACTATCAGCAATATTTGCCTCCACCGCGCTTACTCGGACGCAAACTCGCCAAAATATTACTCACCCGGATTCATTCTGACTCAGATTGAAGGCTGGATCGGAGTCTGAGTGAGTTGAATCATGAATGATTTCGCCTACCTATGCTTGGCACACTAGCGTTGCCAGAATAGAATGGGAAAAGTTTTTTTTTTGTCCTGCAGGACGCGTTTAGCGCGTAGTGGGCGTCTCCCACGTAGGGATTGACAGGTAATACTTGACATTTTTCTAGGGAAGGGGTGGGGGAGGTTCAGCTATACTCTATATATGTTCGTGCGTACGTTTGTTATGTGCGTGCTTGTATATATACGCAAGTAAAATTGAAAAATTATGAGGAAAAATTTGACCCCCACTCCCACTACACCAGATTACGCCCATGGTTGGCAGTAACATTGTCGAGCGCGAATTAACATTACCGAATTTCCGTATGGGTTACCTACATATTAAAGTTATGGTGGATTTCTAATTTTGCTTGATACCGTGCCCATGTGCAGCATCGGAGCAGGGGGCCCGTAAAACATCGTCTTTCGCTTCCGTGTTTTTGGGCAGTGCACAGCAAAAGTTGGCATGCGTAATCACTTATTAACGATAAACATATTTAAGGAGATCTTCGTCCGTATACGTTTGGCTACGGCCACTATTTTCTCTTGTATAAAGCTGCCATTGTATTGTGGTCAACAATAGCAAAACTAGACAAATAAACCCATATTATAACTTTCGCACAGTCTCAGTAGTGCAATAAAGAATGTTCACGAACTAAAAAAGTTCCATAAGATAAAAATTCACACAAACCAAGTGTATACGTACTCACAATAATATGTGCGATTTAACGGCCCAAAACCACCATACGATTATGAAAGACGCTGTATTGGAGGACTCTGGAAATTTAGAGCACCTGGGGTCCTTTAAAGTGCACCCAAATGTGACCGCACGGGCCTGCAGCGTTTTCGCCTCCATCGAAAATGCAGCCGCCGCAGCTGGGATTCGATCCCGTAACCCGAGCAGCCGAGTGCCTTAGCCATTAGAACACTACGACGGGGCTGTAGGTGCATGCACTAGTTAACAATTTTTAAAGTTACTATCACAGCACATCATTCGAGACTTGCGGAGTGTCTCTTCATTGCCGTACTTTGACTGCTTTGGTCTTGCAGCTCGCAGAAATAAGTGCTGCATAAGCACAAAAATACAAGGAACAGCTACTCAAGATTGAGAGCTGATTGATAACGAAAATGCCGGCAATACTTTTTATCTGATTTTCGATAAGGCCATTGCCGCTGCATGGTGAGAGGGTGCGCTTACCTTCGGCGTACTTGCGGGACTTGTGGCTGACCTCCCACTTGGGCGTGCCGTACTTGCGCAGCCAGAGGCACTCCAAGTGCAGGATAGCCCCCGGGTACACGACCAGCTTGCCGTCATTGCTCTGCGCTACCGGCATCACGTGCGGCCGGAAGAGGATCGTCGGAGGCTTTTCCACTGCCAGACATTATTGCGGTCGCACATTAGAAGGGCAGAAACGGTGAGGTCAGGTTTAGCTTTCTACAACACTTGGCACAACGTCAGAGGCAAAATGACGACTGATGACGACGCAGGCCACGATTACTTTTGGGTGCGAACATTTAAAGACAACGGCACCACGAAAAAAGAATGACAAGATAATAATGAGGTGCAAGACATCTTTTTTTCGACATCTGACGTCCTCACACTTTACAAGCTACTGACATTACGGGTCCGCATGCAACAAAACCCATGTAGACAACATGCCTCTACTCTGTTTCTCCACTTTGTTCAGCACTACCGAAGCTATGGGGTGTAAGAAAGCAACACGCTTGCGCGGCGAAACGTAGTCCCACGCACAATTGCCATGAAATTGACATGCAGGGTTGGCTAGAATTGGCGTTTCTTTGGTGCGTTTTAGGTCACATTATACATGATGTTTATCCTTCTTCGCATTTATTTTTAACGCATTTAAATATTTGTGCTGGTTACAGCCGTTAACTGTGTTTACAAATCAACATGGCAGCACCCATGCAGAAGTGACCACCCACTTCAATCCAGCGCGGACTTGCTCTAGACACACGCCTACAGCGCTGACAGCAGTAAACAAATGGTGAAATCAGCCGTCATTTTTTTTTCATATCACTCAGAGACTAACGCATCAGGTACGTTTTGCCGACATTAGCGAGATATGCTGCTTGCTTAGCCGCTCCAGCTAAGCCTAACGCGCCGAGGCAGTGTTCGGATTGCGTCGTCAGCCCAAGAACGCTGCATCTCCAAATATCGGACATGCAACCTCGCACAGCATTTCGTGCGCGTCAGACCCTCCTTCGGTGGAAACAAAAAAGAGAGAAAAGGAGCGTTGCAGCAGGAGACGCGAAGGAACGCGTCAACGGAGAAACAGACATTCGAGAGCCACGTACAGCGTAAGGGAGAAAAAAGCCACAAGGTAAAGTTATCCGCCAGCATGAGATTCTACCAATTTTTAGCCGAGCAACACATTCATGCTTTTTCAAACCGCAGCATAGTTGCTTGTTTATTAGCTTTACTGCATTTTCAAGTTAATAAACTAGCCATAATAACTACAATTCATTGCGCAGCCGCCGTGAATGCGATGAGCAGACGGGTGCCAATGAATACTTGTGGAGGGGATAAGCGCCATTCCTATTGGCTCAGGAGCCTGTAGCTCCACAGTGCTGAAGGGAACTTCTGAAACAGAACATAGAGAAAGTGATCATAATACTACTCGAGTGTCCCTTGTCGCGCTGGCAAGGAAATGACTTAGCTGTAACAACGACCCTGTCAATTAAACACACTAGCCACCTTTTTAGAACACAGTATGAAGTACCTGAAAAAAGCTTGTAAATTAAATCATCAAGAAGTGGGTGTACTGTAAAATAACCGAAGCATACAATATTCAAGAAAGTCTCATGTTATGTCACTGCAGCTTGTTCGATAATGGGGAATTATGCTGCCGACTGAACTGCCACCGGCGGCAAGTTGCCCTTTCGTCCACTATCATTTGCCTTCCCCATTAAAGCCATGAAAGTCCGTGTCTTGTTCTCGTTACACGCCTAAATCATACGTTACTTTTTTTTACGAGCAGAATGTGTCATGTCAAGACAATTTATTTGAACCAGAGTTCATTTGAGGAAATCTGCATTTCCACGTATGTATGTATGTATGTATGTATGTATGTATGTATGTATGTATGTATGTATGTATGTATGTATGTATGTATGTATGTATGTATGTATGTATGTATGGGTGTATGCATGTATGTATGGGTGTATGCATGTATGTATGGGTGTATGCATGTATGTATGTATGCATGCATGCATGTATGTATGTATGTATGCATGTATGTATGTATGCATGTATGTATGTGTGTGTAAGTATGTATGTATGCATGTATGTACGTACGTATATATGTATGTATGGGTTATGTATGTATGTATGCATGTATGTACGTACGTACGTACGTACGTATGTATGTATGTATGGGTGTATGTATAAATGAATGTATGTATGTCTGGGTGTATGTATGTATGTATGTGTGTATGTCTGGGTGTATGTATGTATGTATGTATGTATGTATGTATGTATGTATGTATGTATGTATGTATGTATGTATGTATGTATGTATGTATGTATGTATGTATGTATGTATGTATGTATGTATGTATGTATGTATGTATGTATGTATGTATGCAAGTAAGCGTGTGCGTAGGTATGTCATAGCATACTACTTATCCCTCTTTTATATGATGCCCATTCGTTAAAGGGCCCTAACCAAGGCCGCATAGGAAATTTAGTCAAACACTGAAAACAGTTGATTTATTACGAGCTGAGATAACCAATATTTTGAAGCGTCGCGAAAGCAGGAATTGAGCTTGATACCCTTGCAACTCGCCCCGTTTAAGGGCTCGCAAAGCATATTCCTTTCCTAAACACGGCCCGTCCCGAGTGCCCACGAACAAGCTGCCAATCTTGGTTTGGCGGTCCCTACGTGGGACTTGCCGGGTGGCATGGGGTCTCCCCTGCGTCCTCTTTGGACTAAAATAGAGTTTTCATCATCATGATTCCCTGCCTTTTCTCGCATTGGAGTCATGTTATCACATGGCGCAGACGCATAATCACTCCAAGCACTCGTCATGTCACGTGCGCATGACGTTGACGAGCATGCAAACGTTGTCTTGTTTCGACGTTCTCTGGGGTGCACTACCGGCTTCCGAGGTATGGAAACATCAGTAGTCGAACGTTAGGTGAGGCTGGTCCGGACCATGGATCCATACGGGGGGAACGCGTAGCTGGAGCTCCCCTAATACCTCTCTTTGCCCCCCCCCCCCCCAGCAAGTATAGTCGAAACACAGCACACATGTTCCCAGTCTCCTTGCCCTCCTGAAGGAACTTAATTTTCTCGGTACACCCCTCCCTACCCCGCCGCAGCGAAAAATCCTGGCGCCGCCACTGCTGTCAGAGAAAAAGCAGAAACCCCTTCCTTTAGCAAACTACGATTAGAAACAGTACGCAAATGAAATGACCTATTTCACAAATTGAATTGCATACATTATCAGCATTAAGGTTGCCTACCGTTGCTGGTTTCCACGGTAATCTAGTTGAGAATGTACGCGGCTGCTGACCCGCAAGTCGTAGGAACAAATCCCGTGTGCTTAGATTGCGGCACACGTTAAAGAATCCTAGGTGGCTGAAATTTTCGGAGCCCTCCACTACACCGTTTGGGACTTTAAAGCAGAACAGTTCAGAGTTGGTGCAATAGCGTTGAAGATCACGTATTGTAACACCTGGCCCACTATCTACGGCGAAAGCTGTAACTGGCAGTTTGCGATGAGAGCGCTTTGCGATGATAAATTTTTTAGCCTTAAAGTACCCTTAAACCACACCAAATTCAACGGTGTGAGAGTAGTTTCTTTCTCGCCTTCGCTGTATACCCTTCTTACAAGCTCTCCTCCTCACTACTTATTAAAAAATAAATAAAACATCTGGAGTATCAACACTAATTGTTAAGCAATGCAGTCAAGATTTGGCGCTTTTCGTCAAACGCTGTTATGTTTGCTTGAAGGTGTTAGGGACTCGGGGTTGATGGCATCCCACCGCTGCCACCAAAGGGTGTGGAAGGCTCAGCGTGTTTTTTTTTATGGTAGCTGGCTCGCCGCCGTCGTCCACACAGCCGATGATCACCAGTGAGGAGACACGTTCTTAGAGATAGAACGAAGGTTTATTTACATGATGCAAGAGAAATGAAACTGTACAGTGATTCAGCTATTAAAGTATGTACAAAACGTCTTCGGCTTCTATAGCCCGTCGTTTCCTTATACGGCAGTCCGAAGAAGGCGACGACCACTGTTGCCATGAATCAGGTGACATTAAGTCTCAGTGATCCACCTGCCAGAAAGGGTGCAGACATTGAACCACTCGAATGATACGAAACACGGGCGAAAATGTTCAATGGGTAACACCAGTGTACCACAAAATGATGCACCCGGCCCACGCCTTGAAGATATCGCAGGGCGAGGAGGTAGAGTCCGGTGAAGGGTGAAAGTTGAACTCCTCTGTGGGGAAGATGGCCACTGACATGAACGTCAGCAGTGGTCCATGTCTGCGTTCAGGTACAGAGTTCTAGAACCTTGTCGAACTCGGCAGTCCAGGTTCTCGATTCCTGAGAACTGCTACTGCTGTGTCGTCCCACGCTTCCGAACTATCAGTGCTTTGTCACGACCTCGCGTAGGTGACAATGGCTGAGGGGAGAAGTTGACTCTTAGAACTGCAACACTTACGCCATCTCACGCTGTTCAACCAACACCCCCAAGATTTTTAGAGGCTGTTGGTTCAACCCCGCTCATCAAAGGGTTGTTCGCGAGGTTTCCGTCGAGTTAATTCAAACCCGACCACACCGAACTGCCTGGCCCACATACAGCGCAGGGTTGTACGTGGTGCTACCGACCGGGTGCCGATATTGGCGTGAAATCATTCTTGCAGACCAGCTCACGCACAATGGCGTCTGCTATGATGAACTGCGGGTCAAACGTAGCAACGGTCGCAAGGCAGATAATGAAGTGAAATCAGTTTATCGCCCACTATGGTCACGAGAGACGAAGAATAACGGGCGTGCGTCTGCATGGCAAAGCTATACGTAGGAGGCAATTCACAACACGTATCTCCAGAGCTTATTCCATCCCGAAGTCATGTGAACAGAGTGCTGGCGCCACGAAAGTCGCCGCAAAAACGGGAGATGCCGAGGGAGAAGTAAGAGTTCGTTTTTATTATTTTCAGAGGTTGTTTAGGGACCCTTAAAGGGGTACTGACACAAACTTTTACGGCCGAGATAGCCTGTGGGGTTGATCCTCGTGAACATTTCTATATCATCTGCAAGATAGCAAGAGCGAATATAGCTTGGAAAGTATTTTAAATTAATTTTGAAGTTTGTGTGAGCGACTGACTCTATAGCGCTATAGACACCCTCGGAGGTGACCCCGAGGTGACCCCCTACTTCCCTCATGCACCACGCTACGGTCAACAAAACAAGTTATGATGACGTCATATCCATCATTTCTCTTTTGCCGCGTTAGTCCCCGAAGTCTATATTTCTCGGCGGCTTGTTGCGAGTGCGTGGCCGTGGCGCACGCTTAAAAAGTTTTGTGTTTGGCAACATTCCAGTGCCATTTTCTATTCGAAGGTAATTTTGGATGCGGATCGTGCGGAGGTACATCCCAGTTCTGTGTGCTGACATGGTGAAGGCTTGCACACGCTATGTGGCGACAGGTGCACCCAGTTGTTGGAACTCTCTCAAACACAAACTGAAACTGATGGAATGAGGGGCCTGTAAATAATTATCTCTCGTGTGCTGCAGCAAACAATGTGTCGTGGCATGACTAAGAACCCTACAGCAACGCATTGCAGCAGAAAAAAACGCGAGGCCAAGTTTTTTGTGTCAGTACCCCTTTAAGCTTCCCCAGGACAACAGACGCGTTCATCTGTTATGTGGTTGACAACGTTTATTTCACCATAAAAACTACGTTTCACCACTGATTTAGAGAGAGTTTCCCTCGTTCGGAATCACGTACGACAGACGCCCACCTCCACCGGTCTGCCAAAGATTTCTGTTGCTGTTCGCCACCGTTGCATACCATGAGAAAATAATGTGACCATCTCTAGAAAGTTATTGCTCCTAAAAGTGCACAAATGACATTGCCAATGGTGTATGCACCGATATTTAGAGAATAGTTTGTTGCCTTCATGTAATTAGGACCTCCAATGGCGCAGTTTCTGCTTGCCCCCTTCTTTCAGATGAAACCATGCAATCGTTTAAATAAAACTACCTCTGACAATCTTTTTTACACATATGATCTTATAACTTTCGTAAGAATGTAAACGTTTCTCTATGGTGCATGTTTCGCACACAGACTTGAACCACGGGATGATTGACGTTATATTGACATATGATGTAATGTGCTTTGCAGTACAACTTCACAATGATTCTAGGTATTTGTTCTTTTCAGTGCTGAATCCATCAGTACATCAAGGCTTGCGGTAAGCTCGTATTAAAACTGTAGATAACTTGTGTTTCAGACACTTACGCGCGTAGTCGTTCTCCTGGGAGAGTCCGAAGCAGGAGGGCTTGACGCCATCCCAGTCGCCGTAAACGCAGCGTCGGCGTACGCTGCCCACCAGACTGTATTTGCCGATGTCCTTGCAGCGGAAGACGAGCTCAGAACCCGGCGGAAAGTGGAGCGTGTCGTCCGTGATGCGTCGGTCGCCCTGAAAGGCCTCTAGGTTGGGCTCCGTGTTGCGGAACACGCAGGACCGATTGCGCCGCTCTTCCTTGGGCACCGACAGCTGCTGGGCTCCGTCCTCTGCGCCAGCACACATCGCCTTATTAACACGAGTGCGTATCAGCCGGTTTACGGCCGATAGCCGGGTACGAGTTGAATGTCCCGGGTAACAAAATGTGTTGCTCTTGCACCAGTTGAAACCTCCATATTGAAGAAAAGGATTATACAACTCATGCTTGCTCAACAGAAATAATAAAACTTACATAATTCTCGAACTTCGCGATTTAAAAGTGGTCTCTGATAGCGTGTCTCTGAAAGTTAGGGACGGTATATTAATCGATATCAGAGATATTTTAGCAGATGTTGGAGATAATGTCTTAAATGAAGTGCTGGTTCTGTCGAGTGGACTTGACTTCCTCATTGATCTACTTCTTTTTATGCATTCGAACACGTGCCCTAAAGTAATGCAATTGAAAGTAAAGACTGTAATTCCCGTAATAGGAGAAATGATGGTTGAACTTTTTCCTTGTAGCTCACGTCCTCCTATTGGCAAGTAACCGATCTGCAAAAGCGAAGGGAGCCTGCAGATAGAACAGTGTCTTTTCAAAGTTGCCACCTGTCCTGTTTTAGACCAGCCTGGCAGGTTTTTGTGCAGTGGGCCGGGTGCCAGTGCATACGTAAGACCGACATCGTTGGCGGTCTTTTGGTCTTCTTATTGCGATTAATATTTTTCACATTTTATTTAGCGTAAATGCAGCGACTTCGAAGATACTAAATACCTTGTGTTAGATAACCAAAGCTCTCATACAATCTTCAACCTATTCCTATATTGTAACTATAAAAACTCGAAGTAAGACTCTTCCAGCTATAAGGGGCATTTAACTGTAGCAAAAAATCAACATCAGCTGTTATGTTCTTGCGTCATATAAGCGCAAATTCTTCGCGTGCAGTGAAAATTACGCCAGTGCTTTTTCCGAGAGACTGTAAACCTCAACGTGAAAATGAAGGCTGGTTACTGGCCACGCATGACAAGAGTTACAAATAATTGCGCCAATTTTGTCCTAAACAGACGTAACATACGTATACGGGAGTTATTTATTTTTATGCGAACAAGATAGCTGGTTCTCTCTTGTCTTTTTTTTTTCGTACTGGTACATTATCCCTAATTTCTGACTAGGCAAACAATGTTACAACACATTTTGACATTGTGCGTCAGATACTATACATGACATCTTTTTTTATATCGGCATGAAGTAGTCGTTTTTTTTTGCAGTGGTAATGTGGTAACTTTAGTGGATTTAAAATAAAAGAGTTTGGAGATTACAAAAAAAAAACAAGCAGTCATTTAACTGCTTTATTTGACGCACACGAATTAAAAAAAGCAAAAATGTGAAACGACCTTGCGTCGAGGTAGCTAACTCAAGAAAAGTGGCCGCCAGTTGAAAATATTGCTACAACCTTTTTTGGTGCTGGGAACGTTACAAAAATGACGTTTAGTTGTACAGCGTTATGATAACGCTAAGTCGCTTACCTTGAATATACAAACTCCCGTGACGTAGAAAATAATTTTCCCAAAAGTGCACATGGACGCCCCGTGTATCTGAAATGGGATATCCTTTGCAGTCATAGCCCTCCCCTCCCGTCTACCCCTCTCTATCTCTGTCTGCTCCACTCGATGTTTGTATGCACGCCAGCACCTCGAAAAAAAAGTGTCTATCTTTCTTTTCTTCTCTCCTAAATTCTAGCACATGGTACCCTGCCTAAGGTAAATCTGACTCATGATCACAGTTTTTTTTTTGTTTTTTTTTAGGCGTGGCCGCCTTGACTGCTAGGGGCGCTGTCTGTGACCAGAAAATAGCGCTACAATTGTATCAATCAGTTGTGCTCTCTGGCTTGATGTAAGAACTGCCTATTTTGAAAGTGCCACCAAGTTTGATGTATCAACTCGAACGGGACCATCATGTTGCCCCCCAAAAAATATTTGGCTTACTTCGCGATGCGCAGTCTCTTCCTCTACTCACCGTAGCACACAAGTTACACGTGAGGTTTCAGGCTGACCAGAGAGCGCTGCACCATATCGAGCACACGAACAGAGCACCAAAATGTAATCCACCTATTATTCGCCTCAAAGCTCTTGCATGGGGAAAATGGCGGCATTGTTTACCACAATTAAGCGCAGATCAGAAGATTATACTTCTTTGAAAACTCCAAAAGAGCGTGACATATACGCATCTTCCCAAATAATCTTTCTATTCCCGGAATGTTGATAAAGTCTGACCAGCTAGTTTCGACACTATTTTAATTGGCCCAGTCGCGCCTACATGAAAGTGACTGTAGAATATGTATACAATGACGACCAAGATGACTCTGCAGGTTTCTTTTGCCATTTTACTGACGTCTGACGGGTGCTTTGTATACCGCATTTATCCTCTTCAACGACAGCGGAACTATAGCTACAAGATGTTGTGCTGAAATACGTACAAGAAGAACTCGAATAATCGAACTACATATTCCCGTGCTGCCTTTAACAGATTGCTAAGAAAAGACTCCATTTGCCCAATTATATGCAGCATTGTTAAATCTGCCACAGAACTCATTGCTCGTGGGGTGTCCCTAATTTGCCAGTGGAAGCCTTCATATGTTGGCATTCCTGGGAATGAAGAGGCCGATCGCCTCACTTCAACTTGTGCATAAACGAGTGCGACTGCCGAGAAATTTCATGCCAGTTGTCCTGCTGATTGTCTGCTGATTCACCGACATCTTCAAAAGTAGCATTCTGACCAGCGTGTCAAGTGGACTGTTTCCTGTTGGTATGCGTGGTAGTGAATTGAGTCATCGTGACAGAGCCCTGCTATATAAGGTAAGAGTTGGTTCTGTGTCGGTGCGCGAACGATTATACCGCTAAGGACGTGCTGACAGCCCGATATGCTCATCGTGTGGCTCCTATCAGGCACTAAAACGCGTAATTTTAGCATGCCCTACGTTCGTTGTGCAGCGAGCACTACTCAGAAAGGACTATTGACTGATTGGACTTAGGTGCACGACCCTTGACTACTGCTTCGCCCCAGAAGGATGTGCTCCTAGGCATCACCAGACCCATAGATTCATCTTAACTTTCTTAAAGAAAAGGGACTTGGCTGTCGTGCTTATAGATATTTTCATGTGTCGATTTATTTGTGTTTGCGTGTGTGTTAATTTTTTCCTCTTTTTTACTTTCCTTTTCTCTCTCCTTTTTTCTTCTCTCCTGCCTCCCTTTCCTCTTGTCTCCCTTACCGAAAGAGCAGGCAGGCGTTGTGCCCCTATAGGTGACAGTTGTCAGCCTGTTCCTTCCCTATTTCCTCTGTGCTCTTCGTGTTTTCTATGAAAACAAAATGGGTAGATAAATAAATAAATAAACGAAATAAATAGTATGCCCTACAGTGTAAATTAAATAAAAATATGTAACTTTGTCATATCTGGCGTCTAGGGTATTAAAATCTTAAGATAGCACTGAGTTGCAGAAGATATAAAAGGGTGAAAAGGTACAGGCTTAGAGAGGAAGAGGACAGTTGGATTGCGCTTTCCTTTTCTCACAGAGTCGCGTGCCCTCAGGATGCAGTTTTTTGTGCTTTCTCGATGTCCCCGTCGCGGAGTATTCATTCGTTACAATGCGAGGGAGATACAAACACTTTACCAGCCCGACATGCTGTTTCCAACGACGCACCGCAATCGCGAAAGGCAAGCATTCGAAGCGGGCACGCATGAAAATCCAACAGGAAACGTTGTCGCTTTTTTGGCAGCCTCGAGACAACGAAACGTCGAGTGAGAAGTGAAGCGTTTTAAGCGAAGATTGAGCAAGAGCGACAGACATGACTTCACATAAATCACGAAAGCACTCTGAAAAAACAAAAGTGTTCGTGTCTACCCTGCTTGCTCATGTGCATTATACAGAAATTTCCAATGATGTTTTTGTGAAATAAGGTAATAATGGTCAGGAGAAAATGTATCCAAAGCTTTATGATGTACTAACTTTCTTGGACGCACCTGCTTACAACTGTTCCATGCAGAAACACTACTGAAATGGTCGCTGGTGACATGCGGTGACAGAAACGCTCGTGCATGAACTGTTACGCGACACGGATATCTCAGACTTGATGTGCTTGGAAGGAACGCCATTTAAAGAGCGTAAGACATGTTTGCTAACCACACTTCTCGGGGCGGCCCAGCCAGCTGCCGTCCTCACACAGGAGCTTCCAGGTGCTCCTCTCGCCGCCTCCCGCGCTGTCGATGCAGCGGAAGACCACTTCCGTGCCGTGAGGGAACTGCAACAGGCCTCTGGAGTCTTCCTCCCCGTCCTCCTCGGATTTCGACGGTGACGAGGACCGGAAGGCGAGCGCGTTGTGCAGTCGCTCCGGAGCGCTGCAGGGCTTGTCCGAAGGCGGCGGTGGCGTTGCGCGGCGCGGGACGGCGTCACCTCCACTGGGGGGCCCCGGGGACGCTGTAGACCCCTGAGCCTCCTCCACCGCCGCCACGGGTACCGACTCCGGTCGTGGCGCCTCCTCCGGTGCTGTGGGACGCAACAGTCACGCTACACCATTCGCTGACCATTTCGAAAAACCGCAGCATCTGGCGCGACGGACAAATGAGCATGGGAGTTTACGAAAGTCTTTTTTTTTGCTAGAAATAAGCTAGTGCACTTTCGCATCATGACCCATGGGCACCTTTTTTCTAAGAAAAGTCCTTAAAATGCTAACTTCTGGCACATCGTTGTTAACGGGAAGAAAACTAAAACAAGGCGTCTCGCATTTTTTTCTATTCCATTCAAACTGTAGTGTCCATATCCACACAGACCTCTTAAAGTAAATTGTTTATAAGAGAAAATGTCAGCCAATCCTGATACCAGACTGGCCAAGTGAAAAGAACACCTACACATGTGAAGCGCGGTGTATTTGGCTGTATAGATGAACTCGCTAAAAACAGGCGCCAACTCGTTTCTGCTGCCATCGACTAGTAGTGTATGCTGCACATATAAAATGTTTTGCCATCGCGTTCATCTGAGAGCGAAGAAAGACGATACGCTATGGCGTCGAATTCGTGTAAAGGCGGCTGTGACGAAAATCGAATACGACTCCAGTTTAACCAAGTGGTGCTTCAAGGTTCCCAGTTGGTAGATGTCTTGGTGACGCTCCTTTTAACTCTATGAACGCCGCGGTAGTATATAAAGAAGCTCTCACGCGGTTGGCCATTCATGACACACTTTACGCGTAACATCGCTAATCGAAATCAACTGCGACCCTTAAATGTGCCCAATTTATTTATTCTTACGTGGTCAATCATTGCTTAGTTGCTCGCTGATAAATATTTCTTCAGGACTCTATTTTACAAACAAGAAAGCGGTGGAATGTGAATTCGTTTTTTTTTTCTTTTCTGAGTCGCCTGAGAGTCCAAGTCGCGCCAATGTGTAGCGACATGAGTGGCGTGAGGTGAGCATGCATAGCACCTGCGCCCAGGCTGGAGCCGGTTGCCGAAGGCTTCTGCGGCTGGTGGCAGGCAGGTTGGTGGAGCCGGTTGCAATCGGCCCATGCGGCAGCGAAGTGGTGACGGCGGCCATTGGCGCAGGTGCGGTTCGTCGCAGGCGTACTCGACCGACGAGCCCGGCGATATGGTTAGGCCCGTCCGGTATCCGCCCAGGTAGCGGCCGCCCCGCAGCGCTGGCAGCTCGCACGGCTCTGCGGCACCGGCAACCGATATTTTATAGGCGGACTTACAGAGCAGTGCGGAAAGTTAACGTCAACTGCTAAGGCGCTGAAAGAGGTGCTGCCAACAGCAAGATCAGAGGTATACTCTGTTATACAGGTCACCGTGTTACATGGGTGGATCCACCGACTAATCTTAGAAGGGGGGGGGGGGGGATCCATTGAAATAACACCGGAGGAAGGGGGGCGGGGTCCTGTCTTCTGTTTTTAGTTGCACGAAAATTTCGTCAGAGCATAAATGTTGTTAATGTATGCTCACAGTGTTCTCGCTCATTTGTTCGCAATTGGTGATAGGAGGTGGACGACAAGCACTGAAGAAAGGGGGGAAGTGGGGGGTTGCTGACACGAGCTTTGGGGGGGGGGGAGCGATCGCCCCTACAACACCACCCCTCTGGATCCACCACTTCTGCGTTAAATGTAGAGCACCACGACGCTTAAAATATAGTCGCGACGTAAGGCACCCTTCTTTATATGCATCGATCATTTTGTTGTAGAGACATTTGCTAACTGTAGATCCGTACTGCTGTATTTCAGATGTTGGTAGAAAAATACATGGGTGATGGCGAATGGTGAGATAACGTTGAAATCTGAATGATGTGTCACTGTGGGTTGTACAGCGTTCATATAAAGATATGCAGATCAATGGTTAGTTTATCTAACAAACTGTTTTTGGGTGTGTCTGAGGCGTAAGAGTTTTCAACATGTGAAGGACCGTTCATACTTATGTCAAACACGTCATTAGTATTCACGACGGCGCAGTCAGGCCTTTTTTTACATTACAGCGAAAAAAAAAGGGCCGCTGTAAGGCCAAAAGTCGATGCCAGTAATGAATGGTTAGTTAACCCACCTTCACGGTACATTGAATCTTAAGAGCGCTTGACAGCATCTGAAATGTTTGCCTGAAAGTACGCCACTTTCTAGGCCGGCCATAATAATTTAAAAAAGTGGTCAGATGCCAGCACTGATACAACTCTGTACCATGTATATATAGGTACTTCAGTGTAATGTCTCGCATCACTCAAGCAAAGCAAGGCTCGATGAATACATACCCTATAAAGAAAAATAGGGGGACCCTTAAGGTTCGCCTTTAAGAGTTGAGCGTGATAGTGAAATCCGGCCTCTAGTGCGCCCGCCCTTCAAGCGCTAAGTACGTACTTGTTAATATGTTTTTTTACAGACACATGCACACAAACCAGACGCTGCACGCGCGAGAGTTGATGACACACCACACACAACACACACACACACACACACACACACCCCACACACACACACTCACACACCCACACACACACCCGCACACGCACACACACACACACACGCACGCACAACCACTCACACACCAACACCACGCGCGCACACACACACACACACACAGACACCACACAGCACGCACCCACCCACACCCCGACACGGCACCACCCAACCCACACCACACACACGCGAACACCCACACGCAAGCAGCACAACGCACACACCCACACACAACCCGCACGCCCGACCACATTTGCCACACACACATGCACACCAACACACACACACGCACACCACACACATGCGCGCACACACCACACACGCACACACACATGCGCGCGCACACCACACACACACACACACGCACACACACCACGCGCGCGACACAAACACACACACACATGCGCACACACATGCGCGCACACACACACATGCGCACACAACACCACACACATGCACACACACCACAGCGCACACACACACACACGCACCACTGCGCCACACACACATGCGCACACACACACACACGCACACACACGCGCGCGCACACACACACACAACACACACACACACACATGCGCACACACATGCGCACGCGCGCGTGTGTACAGGTTTTCGATCTAATGCAAGAGTTGCACGGCATCTAAGATACACGCCGTGCACTCGCCATCTTGAAGATAAGGCCACGAAAAGTCTCACAATGCCCCACAAATGGCAGCAGATTATCTAGCGTTTGCTGTTTGCCTGATCAACTCTTCTGGAATGGCATGATATATTTTCGGCTAGATGGGCAGAGTTGTCCATTTTTAGAGGTGTTTGAAAGTTCCTGTGTGTTTTTAGCAGTGATGGCTGCACTGTAGCTGCACTATCCCGGCCTTTTGCGACGTAGTTTGATTACCTCCCAAATGCACCTACAAATCGCCGATTGGGCTCATTTTCGTCGTGACATCTGTCGGACAAAATGCGTTGAGACGACTCCTTTCACTACGTGACATTTATGTAGTGTTTTTTCCTGACGCAGCTGAAAGTAACATCATGGATTTGTGGTACGACACCTGCTTGCCACTTGAATGATTCAGATTATTTATAACCTTAATAGAACCGCAGAATTTTATTCTTTATTTATTTGGTCCTTTCTCGATTTTTCGGTCATGCCCAATTTTTCACTCACAACCAATGGTGCCAACGCTGACGGCGGAATTTCTGCGACACGAGCTCTCTAACGCAATAGCATTGATAGAAAATGGCTCACAGTTATACCCAAGTTTAGCAACGTGTTCCTTGCACGTGAGGTGACATTGATAGCAAATTATATAAGTACACAGAACAGTCAGAAAAAAAGTCGAGTAGCGTAATTAATATTTTCTGAAGACCTCCCCGTTTCCTAACGACGAAATTATGGCGCATACAACACACATACTGGGCACCGCAGGAGATTCCCGGTGGTGATCTGACCCACGTAATTATGAGGCGCGCGGCTCTTTCATATTGGCGTTTCGTTGCCTTGCCTCAATCTGAATCTTCCCACACACCCACTAAGCAAACAGCCGCCTTGCATTCACAGAGCATGCACATGGTTCGCTACTGAGCCTGGCGGGCGCTGATCGCTATTTTCGTCTCACACTTTCTTTCTCTTCTCTTTTCCTCAAATCCGCAGAATTCTAGATCACGAAGAAAATGAATTATACCGTCGGACCTAATGCCACGTGAGTGGGAGGTAGCGAGAAAAGTAAAAGGGAACGAATGACGTCTGCCATCTTCCGGCAGCCACAGTGCGGTTGTCACCACTGTGCAAACAAGAAGCTCCCCCCCCCCCTTCCCCATCTTTCTCCGAGCTGCAGCCCGGTCTACGTCAAACAGCTCGCGCTCTTTGCCGTTCGCGACGAAGAACGTTTGTGGGTCTTCTTGAGCGCATACACAGCATCCAAAACTAGACCAGCAGTGCTCGCGACGCGGTGGCTTTCTTACGCCAAACAGCCGCCAGCCATCCCCCCGGCTCTACGAGCGCGCTTAGCGTATAAGGACGAAAACAAAATGTAAGAAAACAGAAAGAGGAATGAGCGGGCGTGTATATATATATATATATATATATATATATATATATATATATATATATATATATATATATATATATATATATATATATATATATCACAAAAAGAAAGCACTGACTCCTCTCAAATCAAACACCCTTCGTAGTTTTAATGTGGGTGAGCACAAAGCGGAGCCCGCTCTCTGATTAACAAGATTAAAAAAAATAGTCGGCATGTCCGTTGAATATGACACAAATCGCGATAGAATTTTTTTTACTTTATTCGCCCTTGTTCGTTGCCGATGACACGTTCATGAGGCTATTTCAGTTGCTCCTGCGCGTGATTCTATTTTATGGATGTCAATAAAAAAATATGGAGTGGTAATACAGAACACCAGTATTGTGAACTGGTATGTGCAGTATGCCATACGCGCTCTTTTCAGAAATGACGAGTTCATGATTGGGTTCACTGCAGCATTTAGAGTCTCCTGCAAAAGCATCGCGTGATCTGATATCATAAACAAGCGTCGTCAACGCCATTACCAAGAAACAAGAAAACAAGAGAGGGTAGAAAAGGGAGATACTAATTGTAGTAGGGTCCGTAGTTGTAGCACTTCAGACCACATGCGGGCAAAAAAAAAAACTAGAAAGGCACACATTTTGTCCGTGTGCTATTTAAGCTGGTTTCTTTGTCATGCAATGCCAACAAACCCTAATTTCCGTTCTTCGCAAAGAGGGAAGAAAAGGATGACCACGTTACAGATGCGTCCAGCGATGCGCGTGCAATTTATTTTCTTTGCTTCCAGCAAAATTACTCGCCATCTCTCTCGGGAAGACAGAATAGCAACTACGGTGCACTCGAGATAATGCCCGACAGTGTTTCGCCAGAATCTAATTAGTTCTTTCAAACTTGTTTGCTCCCTGGCTCCCCTCCTTTTTCTTGACAATGTCCTTATTCCCGTATGCCGTAGAACAAACGTCTCGACGCAAGTACATTGTTCTCATTTGCTCGCGCGTAAACCATGTTCGTTTACATAATATGGCCTACCGCCTCGGCTCTGCATGTCTCCAAAGATTGTGTCGCTTCTCGTAGGCTGTTTTTCTTCAAAACGTTTTCGAACTATTGCTATATGGTATTTCAAAGCCTCGCCTATTTGGCAGACGGCACCGAAACTTTTTAATGCTACGACTTAGACAATATATATTTAAGCAACTTCATTTTTAGGAAGGGCTGTCCAGTTAGTGAATGTTGTGAACCTGCTTAAACTTACCTATGCATCAGCTTATTTTGTTAACACGAAAATCTTTTTGCTGGGGTCCACAAAGACCTCACTGACGTCATTTCCGCCACAGAAATGTCATCGGTGAAATGCAGATGAACGTAATGCTATAATAATGCCAAGAAAAACTAGAAGAAAACGTTTTCGTTCATGGCGATTCTCGAACCAAAAACCTCTCGGCCGGAAACGATAGGTGCAGGGTTCTTTAACCCACTGAGATAGCCATACAATTGGTGGTGGTGGTAGGCGTTAGAAGATGAGAAAAGGCACCTAATTTCTGCAACCCGGTCGGGAGCACGGCGCAGTGCCTGATATAATTGCACAGCAGTTCACAAAGGCACCTTGTGTCTCTCACATCCTCTACCTTTCGCAGCGCTCCTGTGAGGTGGACCAAGTGTAACCGGTGC